AGTGGCTGAATTAATTCCTTTGTTTATCTATACACCATATTTTCTTTGTGCCTGTATCTGTTGATGGGAACCTCAGTCGATTCTATAACTTGGCTGTTGTGAACAGTGCTGCAGTGAACATGGGCATATAGATACCTCTAGCCATATGTTGACTTTGGTTTCTTTGAATTTATACCCAAGGGTCTATATAGATAGATCACATGGTAGTTCTATTTTTATTGCTTCGAGGAACTTCTATACTGATTTCCACAGTGGCTGGATTAATATCCACCCTCACCAACAGTGTTAGCAGGAACCCCAGCCTCGTATTATTACCAGCCTTTCTTGTTAGTTTTGTTGATGACAGCCTTTCTGACTGGGATGAGAAGGAATCTCTGTGTAGTTTTGATTTGCATTTCCCTGATGACTAAGGATGTTGAACATTTGTTTACTGGCCATTTGTACTTCTTTTGGGAACCGTCTGTGGTATGAAGAAGTTTTGATGGAACGATTCGGCCCTTCCCTACTCCGCTCTCTGGAAGATGGCAATAGTGCTCATGAGGCTTTCAGACAAACTAATTACAGTTACAGCACTAATAAGTACACTATGTATAATTTTCCAAGTTACTTTCAGAAGAATAGTCATGATCTTTTGTTTTATTCGTGTGCTTTATTGCCTCTGTTTGGAGAGGGGTCTTTTAATTTAAAGAGTAGCATTAATCATCTGCCTCTGTTAATGGAATGTAATTAACATTGCTCAGAGTTATTTTCTTGTATTATTATTTTCCTTCATCATCCAGGTCCTCATTCCCATCCCTCACTCTCCAATACTGACAGTTTCATTGCAATCTCCACCCTGACCCTCAGTGTTCATCTACCTATGAACAGTGCTGTTTCATGTGACCCTCAGTGTTCATCTACCTATGAACAGTGCTGTTCATGTGACCCTCAGTGCTCATCTACCTATGAACAATGCTGTTTCATGCATGCCAAGGGTTAGAATTATGGAGAATTACAAACATTTATGAAAGGAAGTCTTACAAGTCTCTGTGTCTGTCACATAGCTGCAGTGATGATCGACACATGGCCCGCCCTCCTCTGCATTGTTCTTTCCTTCCCCAGGTTCATATTTCTAAAGCAAATTTCAAACATTAGATCACTTAATCTGTAAATGTTTCAGTATATATTTGTAAAAGTCAGCGCTCCCTTTTAAACATAACCATGTAAAATATAAACGATAATCTTTAATATCATCGGGTGTCTACACTTTACCATGTTATAAATGGTCTTATTTTCATTTATTTTTATCAGAATCCAAGCTAAATCCATACATTGTAAGCAGCTAATAAGTTCCCAGTTCTCTTTGGTCCAGAGGCTTCCTTTCCTTTTTTGGGGCGGGGATGGGGGTGGTGTTTTGAGACAGGGTTTCTCTGTATAGTTTTGGTGCCTGTCCTGGATCTTGCTCTGTAGACCAGGCTGGCCTCGAACTCACAGAGATTCACCTGGCTCTGCCTCCTGAGTGCTGGGATTAAAGGCATGCACCACTGCTGCCTGGTTCCTTTTTTTCCCCCCAGGCATTTTTTAAAAACCTTTTTGGGAAGCTTACAAATTTGTCTCCAAGAGTTTTCAGTGGTGTTTGGTGGCTCTCTTCCTTGTGATACTCTTTAATATGGTCCCTTGTCTTCTCTGCGAATTGGATATTAGATTCAGAGGTTTGATTATAGGGAGACTAGGCCACTCTCCTTCACTGGTGGAACTGTGCCCTCCCGTCAGAGGAGATAAGTGTCTAGTTGTCTTTTGGGGATCCTGTTCACTCATCACAATCATTTCTATATCTAACTCACTGGAAGATGCAAAACAAAGATGTCTCACTTCCATCCCTTCTGTCCTTGCAAACTGATATCCTATAAAGAGAAATTCCCATCAGCTTCCCTTCCTCAGCTTGTATCAGAAAAGTCATCTAAATTCTTGAATTTCCCCCTTTACTACCATTTTTTAAGAAAAGAATGTGTTGATTTTCAAAAGGCATCAGTAAATGTTTTTGAACCATAATAAGCTCGCAGACAGTGTCTCAGTTGGTGTCTGTGTTGATGTGCAGGTGTGCTCATCTTTGGTTATTACTAGGAAGTTATTCAAGTTGGCTTGTGAGTCCATTCAACATGACTATAAAAGTCTTGATTACTAAGAACTTTCTAGATATTGTCAAATTTGTTCCCATAGGGTTGTATTCTGCCTTCCCACAAGCTTTGCCAATAAATATGTTAAACTAGTACTTTAGAAAAAACTTAACTGCTCCCATGGGGATAAGCATCTTTTCACGTGTCCAGGAGTCACCTGCACCTTCCCTAAGAAGCACAGTTCACATCTTCATTAATATATAGCATTTTAAGAAAACGTTACTGGCTTTTTTACTCCCTATTTTTAGGCGTCTTTCTATATTAAGTATAAACACCATAAATTGTGAATGGTTTGTCAGAAGATATCAGAAAATGGAAAGATCTCCCATGCTCATGAATAGGTAGGATCAACATAGTAAAAATGGCAATCTTACCAAAAGCAATCTACAGATTCAATGCAATCCCCATCAAAATCCTGACACAATTCTTCACACACCTGGAAAGAACAATACTCAACTTTATATGGAAAAACAAAAAACCCAGGATAGCTAAAAGAATCTTGTACAATAAAGCAACCTCTAGAGGCATCACAATCCCCGACTTTAAGCTCTACTATAGGGCTACAGTAATAAAAACAGCTTGATACTGGCATAAAATCTGACATGTAGACCAATGGAATCAAATTAAAAACCCTGACATTAATCTGCACACGTATGAACACCTAATTTTTGACAAAGAAACCAAAACTGTACAATGGAAAAAAGAAAGTATCTTCAACAAATGGTGCTGGCATAACTGGATGTCAACATGTAGAAGTTTGCAAATAGATCCATATCTGTCACCATGCACAAGACTTAAGTCCAAGTGGATCAAAGATCTCAACATAAATCCAGTTACTCTGAACCTTATAGAAGAGAAAGTAGGAAGTAGTATTGAATGCATTGGTACCAGAGATCATTTTCTAAATATAACACCAGTAGCACAGACATTGAGAGCAACAATTAATAAATGTGACCTCTTGAAACTGAGAAGCTTTTGTAGGGCAAAGGACACAGTCAATAAGACAAAACAACAGTCTACAGAATGGGAAAAGATCTTCATCAACCCCACATCTGATAGAGGGCTGATCTCCAGAATATATAAAGAACTCAAAGAACTCAAACTAGACATCAAAATACCTAACAGTCTAATTAAAAAAATGGGCTATAGAGCTAAACAGAGAATTCTCAACAGAAGAATCTTAAATGACCAAAAGACATTTAAGGAATTGCTCAACATCCTTGTTACCAGGGAAATGCAAATCAAAATGACTCTGAGATACCATCTTACACCTATCAGAATGGCTCATAACAAAAGCATTGAAGACAGCTTATGTTGGAGAGGATGTGGAACAAGGGGAACACTCCTTCACTGTTGGTGGGAAT